CAGAGACTCTTAGGCTTGAATTATATACATGATTTCATCATGTTTTCTTGCATGGGAAACTTCTTAAATGTAAGCATGGGTATGCCACCTTAGGATCATGTAGTCACGGCTTGCAAACAGGACCCCATTTTTACTCTCTTCTGTTTCTTCTCCCCTACTACCACCCCAAATCCTTCCTGAGCCCCATGACAGGGCCCTGCAAAATAGAGAAGACAACTACAATCTAGTTTAATACATTCCTTTTACATATCGGGAAATTGAGGATGAGAGAACCAGTGAGAGAATGTGATCTCACTATCACAAAACTATTTCTCTGATTTGTGTCTGAAATAATCATGACAATGACAGAACATCCATTCATCAAGGACATTTTCCCTTGGAACTTGGGTAGATATAATGTAGGGACAGCTTGAATATGGCTGACAGAATGAATGACGGAGGCTGAAGGGACTGACAGAACTGAGCGTTAAGAGTTAATGATCTATCAGCTCCGATGTGGGCTCATCTCGGGCAAGTCATCTGGTATGACAGCACTTGGCTTCGTTTCTCTGCCCCTAAGTTGAAGCGTAATCCCCCTGTATAATCACTTTTTAAGGTACTTAGAGTCTGGGCATGAAAGCCTCAGTACATACAAAAGGCTGTGTACTCACTGAATCAACATCTAAGACGACTCCATGAAGCCCAAAGGTTTTCAGCATCCCTCGGATGGCAAATTTTGGCAGAGCAGTTCCAACTGTACTGCTGGTTACATTATTGCTGTCTGGAGAGCGGGTTACAACCGTGAGACCTGGGGAGGGTAGAGCAAGAAGTTTTTTCAGGAGCAAGTACCATTATCATCTTGGGACCTTCTATTTTAGGGTCTAAAATATCACTACAGCATTTAACAATACCCTAGCTTAGTTATAACCAAAAAGGAACACACCTTGGTCTGGAAGATGATGCAAGAAAACGTTGTAAGAATACAACAATACAATAATAAAAAGACATATAAGCCAATTTTAAAATGGGCAAAGGATTTGAATAAACATTTCTCCAAAGAGAAATGAAAAGATACACATGAAAAGATGTTCAACATCATTAGTCATCGGGGAAATGCAAGTCAAAGCCACAATGACACACCACTAGGATGGCTATAGTAAAAAAGATAGACAACAGTAAGTGTTGGCAAGGATGCGGCGAAACTGGAACCCTCATACATTGCTGGTGGGAACGTAAAATGGTGCAGTCACTTTGGAATTATATTCCTATGTATACGCTCAAGAGAAATGAAAACACATGTCCACACAGAAACTTGTACACAAATGTTCAGAACATTATTCCTAAGAGCCAAAAGGTAGAAACAGCCCAAGTGCCCATCAGTTGATGAATGGATAAACAAAATGGGGTATTACCCATACAGTGGAATTGTATGAAATATTGGAATATTCCACACAAATAATATTCCATAATGGAATATTATTTTGCCATAAAAAAGGAATGAAGTACCAACACGTGCTACAGCATGGATGAAAAATTATGAAAAAATTTTTCAAGAAAAATTATGCTATGTGAAAGGAGCCAGACACAAAAGACCATATGCTATTTGACTCCATTTACAGAACAGGTAAATCTGTAGGACAGAAAGTAGATTAATGGCTGCTAGGGGCTAAAGGGAGGGAGGAATGGGGAACAATGAGGGTACAGGATTTCTTTTGGGGGGATGAAAGTGTTCTTGAATTAGAGGCAATGGTTTGATGATTGAAAATTTTGTGACTCCACTAAAAACTGAATTGTATACTTTAAAAGGGTGACTTTTATGGTGTGTGGATTAGCTCTCAAAAAAAAAGAAAGAAAAAAGTAAATATATATTCCTGCCCCTGCCCAAGATGTTCAAATATTTTTGTGACAGTCTAATAATGAGCGATTTAAAATTCTCTTTTTTATGCTTTTCTGTATTTTCATTTCCTCATACTATGTGATAGATTTTGAATCAAAATACATTCTATTAAAATTCTAAAAAGCACAATACAACCACATATTCTTGGGTTTTTAGCTCAGCCTATCTGGAACCCTCCGCGCCACGCCACTTATTTCTTTGTCCTGTCTCACCCTGCTCATGCTAGTGAGTTCAGGAAATGTGCAAAAGGACATCGGAGGACAGACGAGCGTCTACTTGTGCCCCACCAGGAAGCTTTGTGGCCTCACACAGGAGAACCGGGAAGAGGTCATGTCCCTCAGAGTGAGGCAAGTCACCCTAGGAGGGACAGCCAGCAGCTGCTTGGCTCAACGTCATGTCTGGGAAAACGCAACTCCTCATTTCACAGGACATTTTGTAGGTGAAGTAAGGGGGAAAGCAAAACCTTTTCGAACTTTATCAATTGTGAACTTGTTGGCTTCGTCTTTAATGTCTTCGATGGTGGGAAGGTAAAGATCTCTTGGGATGCCACCGTTCTCCTCGTACAGGAATTCAACCGTCTGTCGGGCAATATCCACCATGCCTAAAACACAGAACAGCACTGGTAACTCTCCGAAGAGTACATGATGGTCAGATCCGCCATGACACTAGAGCAAAGAGATAAGAGAATCTTTCAAACCAAGTTTGCGGGAGTCGGGAGCCTTTTGGGGAAGGTAATTATTCCGTGTCTACCAAGTTTAAAATACTCCAATGCCCTGTTTCTAGGAATCATTCCAATCTTTCCCACAGAAATGCAGCACGAGTGTGCAAAGTTACAAGAACACTGCCTCCAGCTCTGCTGGGAACGTAACAAAAAATGGAGATAACACAAGTATTCATCGATACAGAGTGGTCATAAATGATGGAACATTATTGTGCAGTGACTTCATTTTAGTTAAGTCAAAAGAACAAACTGTAGGAAAAATGGAGAGTAAGAAGAAACTGAGGGAAATGTCTTTTTCCTACCGTATACATTTTTGTACTGAGTTTGATTTTGACCACAGCAAACACAAGTTGTTTATCTAACAGAGACAGAGAGCTACATCAGCTTCTATCCAGCACTGCGGCCTGCTGTTCTTCCTTCCCAGAATGAGGACACATCATTATGTTCAATAGCGACAGCCACTATTAATTAATAAACCAAGTCAATAAATGTCCAAAGCCGTGAAGAAAACAGCACCATGGGGAGTACAGAGAGATGGGGCATGACGTTTCCATTTGCTGTGGCTTCCTTAGCTCCCACACTGCCTGGGATGGTGTGGGTAAAAGAACACGTGTTGACAGCATCCGCTTTTAAATAAGGCTTAGCGCCATCACACTTCTCTACCATTCCTTTATTTGCTGGCCTTGCTGTAATGAGAGAGCATAGCAATTTTCTGAGCACAGTTTAGAAGGGGGCTGAAATTCGAGAAAGATGCATAGAGAAAGAAGTGTCAGACAAAATAAACAAGACATCGAGCCTGATCCTAGAAGACTATAGAAAAATAACCTTCGCCACATTTTCCAAAGGAACAGGGGGTTGAAGAAACTACACTGCTGTCTACTACACAGGAATCAGGGAACACGGGGAGAATGCCAAACTAAACCACCAACAGCACAGAGCCAGTTTCATGAACCTTCCTTGGGGGATGTGACAACAGGCAGCTGATTCACCAGGAGATGGCCCTTGAGCACCACAAGCCATCTCCCTAGTCTCCTTTCGGCCTTTGTCACTGCTCTACTGAAGGATATTATATTTGGAAGGTAACTGTTTTATGATTAAATTAATGTAGTTCAGCTGATTGGCCATGGTCACACGGATGGATCCCAAGAGAACACCTTGGCAAGATGTCTGTCAGGGGCCAAAGGTCCTTCCAGGGGAGACGTGAGGCCAGGGGTTGTAGGTCTGGGTCTGGTCCAGCAGCCTTTGGATAATCACATTCTCTGCTGTGCTGTCTACACTTTCCCGCCTCTGAACTGGGAGCAGAGGAGGAGAAAGCACATTGGCCAGACATTCGGGATGGCTCTGGGAACAAATGGTTAAAGACCTCCTAATGTAAGCAGAAACCATGTGGGAATAAAGACACAGCAAGCATTGCTTACGTAAGAGCTTTCCATCCACATACTGCAAAGTCTCTCTCCTCTTTCTTACTCTCTCCCAAAGCAGTAAGCAGCACCAGTCTCCCTGAACAGGTAGGTAGCACTTCACATCTAAACTTAACCCTCCTGTTGTGACTTAGCGCCAGGTCTCAGCTCACATACCGTATTATCAGAGGAGCCAAGCTGGGTTGGGCTGCCCTCATTACATGTGCCGTGGCCTCCTGATGTACCCTCACCACAGCCCTTATCATCACCTGCTTCCCACTAGGGAGGAAGCTCTGAAAGAAGGGGCCATCTCGGTCTTGTCCACAGAAGATCCCTTATTCCCTAGCACAGGGCTTAACATGGGAGGCACATGTTGCATGATGGACAAGGAAGTGAATGAATCGATGACTGAATAAAAAGGCACCAAAACAAAGCCCTCCTCACTCCGAAAACCAGTGGTGGGCATTGGTGCTTCCAGGCTGGCAGCAATGAATTTGGCATCACATTTATCAAGTGAGAGTCGGCTAGAAACAGGTAAGATCTGTTCTGTGGTCTGACATAACACAAAAAGGGTATGTTTTTTCAGGTATTGGGAATGAACAGGGAAGAACGAATTATCATTTTGTCTGTGGGATCTACTAAATCAGGTTATGCTGCTCTTTCACTTAAAATCCCCCAGTGGCTTTCCATTCTACACAGAATAAAATCCAAAGTCCTTGCGGAGGCTGACGCTGCTCTGTCACCTCCCCTTCTGTGACACTGGTGTGGCCTTACTGCTGTTCCCTCAACCACCCATGCTCACCCCACCCGAGATTCTTCCTAATGTTGCCCCCTCTGCCCAAAACTCTTCAGCGAGAAGAAAAGAGAAGAATATTAATTATCTGTCCTGAGATTTTGGTTGGCAACTGAAACAAGGCTCTGATAAGAGCAGGAAGCGTTCACACCTTGTCACAGGATGTGTGGATTGTCCCATAGGTGAAGTATAAACAAGCCCATTCCAGTATGATAGGTGTAAGCTTTGCAGGTGGAGAGCATGGAAAACACACACACACACACACACACACACACACACACACATAGTCCTGGCAACAATGAGAAAAAGGAATTACTCATCTATCATTGGAAATCAGGGACTCAGCATAGAAGTTGGCCAAGAAATAAAGGTCTTTCGGTGGCTCTTCTCTTTATTTGATCCTAATCTCAGTCGGGACAAAAGTTAAAAGAGGAGAAGACTGCTGACATGGGGACAGTAACTGAACCTTTTACACCATCTCTGCCATGGTGATGACAGAAAACCAAACCGATGTCCCAGCGGAAGGCAGCTCTGCCTGTTGGGAAAAGGCATTTCTGCATCTCAAAAGCATGTGTTTCACAAGATGAGGAAAAGCCTTAAAACAGAAATCAGCCACCTGCAGTTAAGACTCAATAATGACTCCCTGCCTGTGTTCAAACTCTGCATCGTGTTTGCAGAGACACCATGGCCAGTGGGAGAAAAAAAATCTCACCATTGTTAATCACTGTGGCATTCAGAACTATATTAATGGAATGCTTACTATGTGCCAGGCACTGCTCTTAGGAGCCTTACCTGCATCAACTCATTCCTTTTTCATATACACATGAGGTGGTTACCATTATTCATTCTATTTCAAAGGTGAGGAAAGGTTAAGTAACCTTCCCAAGGTCACACAGCTGGTGAAATAGCCCAAGCTATTCACCACCAGGCCACGCAGCTTCCTAGTATAGCCATGCCGGCTTCATTTCAGCAGCCCAGCAGCCAAAACCCTGACAAGCAAAGAAACACCGGGCAATGAAAGCCAAGAGCACAGAGTTCAGTGAAGGCACGGGGAACAGACACTGTTGGGTCTTGCCCAACTTTACATGAGCCCCTCTTTGCTCATTTACGTCCTAAGTTTCCCCTAAACACGTCTCTTTGAATCATGGAGCGAGCTCCTTAGGAAAACAGAAAGCACCAGACCTAGCTGTAAGGCGCCCTTTATCTGGTCCAGGCCCGATTTCCGCTCTGCCTCATTGCGGAAGCGTCTTCGGATAGTAGGGAAAACCTTGGTTTCCCACGCTTTCACCAGCAGGGCATAGTGGTCCTCCTGGAAGAAGAAGCAAACTCATGACCAGAGAAGGAACACCTCGTGCAGGCATCAGTCCTGCCCCAACTTACAGCTCTCACCCCTGGGGTCTTAGCCCCACACACATGCCAGTCCCAGAAACACACCA